TGGAGTGCAGTGGCCGCTCCCGGCCACCGCAGCCTTGACCTGCTGGGCTCCGGCAATCCTTCGGCCTCAGCCTTCCAAGTAGCTGGAACTACAGGTGCACGCTACCACATCCGGCGAATTTTTTTGATTTATTATAGAGATGAGATCTCGCCAAGTTGCCCAGGCGGGTCTTGAACCCGTTGGCTCAGGCAATCCACTCACCTCAGCCTCTCAAGGCGCAGGATTACAGGCTGAGCCACTGAGCCCAGCTGGCTCACACCTTTAATCTCAGCACTTTGGGAGGCTGAGGTGAGAGGATTGCTTGAGCCCAGGAGGTCAAGACCAGCTTAGACAATATAACAAAACCTCATCTCTACAAAAAATAAAAGTAAATTAGCCAGGCGTGGTTCTAATTGCCCTCAGATGTCCTACCTCAAGGCATAGAGGGGGCTAGTTATGGAGCCTATTTTAAGCCCTGGAAGTTTCTAGAAAGCGCTTCTGCGACAAACACAGTAAAATCACAGCACCAAGAGCGACACAGAAGGTCATGGTAACCAGGCCAGAAGTTCAAATACATTTCACTGGTTTCTGGGGTCAGTTACCTATTTCAGTTTCTGTCTAGTTTCCTAGACAGAAACTGAGGACAAGAAAGGACCCTTACCTGGTGGGTGGTAGGTTTGAATTCCAAATCCTTTGTCAACATCACAACCTGCTCATATAGGCCTCTCAGACAAAACAAACTCTGAGAAACAAAACAAACAAACAAAAAAACCAGGACCCCTGAGCCAGCCTCCAAAACTAGGACACCGAGGCCTTATTTTTAGCTTTTTTTTTTTAAATTTAAATCTGTCTTGTCCTTAGACCTGGAACAAATCATTTCACTACAACATCCTATTGGAAGGCTGAAATTTCTAAATATGGAAAACTTGTCCCTGTTTCCTTCTGGAAATTTCCCTGTGACCAGTCACTCATTTCTGCTTCCTGCTCCCTCCCACCAGGGTAAGAAAATGTCTGTGTGCACCGACAACGTCACTGACATCCGGATTCCCGAGGGTGAGTCAGGGTTCTCCAAATCCGTCACGGCCTACGTGTGCCAGGCAGTCATCATCCCCTCAGAGGTGACAGGCTACAAGGCCGAGGTGTCCTCACAGCCTGTCAGCCTTGCGGATCGACTTATTGGTGAGTGACTCAGCCTTGCATGAGTGTGTGTGTGTGTGTGTGTGTGTGTGTTTTGCGTAAGAGGGAGTGAGGTTGCCAGGCTAGGAGGTAAAAAGCTCTCAAGTGGGGGTCCCAACCTCACCTCTGCTCTCTTTTCCATCCTGTGTGCTCGGAGGCCTCTGACACACCTTTGGTTCCTCCTTTCCTAAGCCCCTTGGGAATGTGATGAGGTTGGACGTTGCCAGTCTTGAGAGAGTTGAAGTGGTTGCCGGCAAATGCTACCAGGAGACTAATTAGGGACTCTAATTTGGCAGGAGTGACAACAGATATGACTCTGGATGGAATCACCTCCCCCGCTGAACTTTTCCGCCCAGAGTCCTTGGGAATACCGGACGTGATCTTCTTTTACAGGTGAAGATGAGAGGCCAGGCGAATCCTAGGGAAGTCAAAGAGGCCCCCACAGTTTCCGCTGCAGCCCCCTCTCCCCAGCCACCCACTGCTTCTCAAACCACAACGTGTCTGAGGTCCAGGAGATCCAACCAGTCACAATAGCTGAGGTCTGGGGGTCCCCCAGTCCCAGCTTCTAGGGGGCTGCTGGGCAGGTCTGCCCTGGAGGTAGGGAGAAATGCTGAATGATCTCAGGGGACCTCCCTCCCAGACTGAGAAGGGTCCAGTGTCTGCCGGCCATGCCTCTCCTGAACCAGTGTGTGTCCCTCGTGACTAGAGCTCCCTGACCCCTGCCCTCTCCGTGTGTAAACCAAGGCCCGTGCAGCCCCCGTGTGTCAGGCCAGAGCCCGAGTTCTGACTTTCCCAGCAGAGAATCATTCTGTGTTGACCTCAGGGGTGGCTCTCACTAGCATGGCGGGATGACTCATCCCCCATGGGGACTGGCTTTCTCTGCAGGTCCAACGACGTAACCCAGTCCTGCACTTCTGGGAGATCAACCACCATCCGCGTCAGATGCAACCCACAGAAAGCTGCCCCTGGAAGACTGTCACTGCCGGGGTAAGCCCTGCAGAGGATCGGAACAAAGGCCAAAGTCTCCCTTCCTTGGGCTTATTCTATCCTGAGAGCAAGAGACGACAGGAAAAGAGCAAGAGAGAAAATAGGTGATCCATCTAAGAGGTACAGATGGCTCTGAGAGGCACAGTCGTGGACCCCAGCCCTCAGTCTTTGGATGGCAAGAGTGGGCAGAAGGAAGCGTGAGAGCCAGCCCCACCTGGACCATGATGCTGGGTGGCTGCATAGCATGGTGGCCAGCAGCTCTGGTTGAGAGTCAGATCTGAGTCAGCACCTCCACGGACCAGCTGTGGACACATTTCTTAGCTTCTCTAGGACTCTGTTTTCCTTTTTCTTAAAATAGGCATAATAATAAGTTTCCTCAGGGAGTTTTTTGAGGGTTAAACAAGATGATGAGACTTTATACTTCTCATGGTATCTGGCTATTAGTGAAATTAGTAAAGGCTTAGTGATCCCAGGAATCTGTCTGCAACTACAAGACCCAATTCCAGTTTTAATAGCTGAGTGCACTCAACTGAAAATTTCCAAATTAATATTAGATACCACAGCCCTCCTTTTTTCCCACCCACATACATCTTTTTTTTTTTTTTTGGAATTGGGGGACTCACTCTGTCAACCCAGACTGGAATGCAGTGGCACAATCATGGCTCACCACAGCCTCAACATCCTGGGCTCGGGAGATTCTTCTGCCTCAGCCTCCTGAGTAGCTGGGACTATAGTTGAACACTACTACGCCCAGCTAATTGTTTGTTTGTTTGGAGAGACGAGGTCTTGCTATGTTTCCCAGGCTGGTCTCGAACTTCTGGGCTCAAGCAATCTTCCCACCTCGGCCTCCCAAAGTGCTAGGATTATAGGCATTAGCCAACATGCCCAGCTAACATCTTGACGGGCACTAGTGTCTTAAGGAAGACAGTTTGGGACATGTTGCTTCTAAACTACAATGGATAGGGGACACAGGGAACAAACAGGGCATCATGACCTAGCAGTGGTGTCCAAGTGTAACATCTCTGTTCTTGCCGTTGTAAGCGTCACTGTAAAGTACACCCGTGACCGGAAGTCTGTCCCTGAACTCCGCCTCAACTCCAATCCCAACCACAGGAAGCTGCATCAAAGTGGCTGTTGGAAAATGTCACATTCCCATGGGGAGGACAAGAACCTCTGAGGGGCTGATGGGGCAGCCACACTAGTGCTCAGACACCTTACATCAACTGTCATCTGATGTCAGCACAAACATGAACAGGCAGAGGGTGGGGAGCCCAGTGGAGGCTGGAAGGCTTCTCTCCATCAGGGAACTCGGAGATCAAAATGTGTGTTAAGAGCTAGATGCATAGCCGGGCTCAGTGGCTCAGCCTATAATCCCGCACCTTTGGGAGGCTGAGGTGAGTGGATTGCCTGAGCCCGCGGGTTCGAGACCCGCCTGGGTAACGTGGCGAGACCTCATCTCTACAATAAATCAAAAATTAGCCGGGCATGGTAGTGTGCACCTATAGTTCCAGCTACTTGGAAGGCTGAGGCGGAAGGATCGCTGGAGCCCAGCCGGTTGAGGCTGCGGTGACCGGGAGCGGCCACTGCACTCCAGTCTGGGAGACAAAGTGAGACTCCAACTCAAAAAAAAAAAAAAAAAAAAAAGACCTAGATGTGGCCGGGTGCGGTGACTCACTCCTGTAATCCCAGCACTTTGAGAGGCAGAGGCAAGAGCATTGGCAGAGCCCAGGGTTCAAGACCAGCCTGGGCAACATGATGAAACCTCATCTCTACAATAAATCAAAAAATTAGCCATGGTGTGCACCTGTAGTTCCAACTACTTGAGAGGCTGAAGCGGAAGAATCGCCTGACCCCAGCATGTGGATGCTGCGGTGGCCATGCGCGTGCCACTGCACTCCAGCCTGGGCAACAGCGTAAGACTCTGACTCAAAAAAAAAAAAAAAAGGCAGGATAAGGGGTAGGTGGAAGGATACTGTCAGGACTCATGGTTTGAGCCAGAGAGGATGAACCAGGAAGCTCAGAGATGCCAGGCCTCCCACCAGGTCTTCCTGCCCATCCAGTGAGCCAGTGCTCAGGTCTTCCCTCTGCTTTACCAGCTCGTGCTCCGGCGGGACCTGCGACGGCTGCAGCTTCCACTTTCTGTGGGAGAGCGTGGCTGCCTGCCCGCTCTGCTCTGTGGCTGACTACCACGCCATCGTCAGCAGCTGTGTGGCTGGCATCCAGGTGGGTTTCCCTCTGACTAGGGCCTCCCCGGGAGAGGAGGGATCGTGAGATCTGAGTTCCCTGTTCTCCCGACAGAAGACGACCTATGTGTGGCGAGAACCAAAGCTGTGCTCGGGGGGCCTCTCCCTGCCTGAGCAGAGAGTCACCATCTGCAAAACCATAGCTTTCTGGCTGAAAGTGGGCATCTCTGCGGGCATCTGCATGGCTGTCGTGCTCGCCGTCTTGACCTGCTACTTTTGGAAGAAGAATCAAAAGTACATGACGGGTCCCTGGAGGTTGGCGGTAGGCGGGATTGGGTGACTGAACAGGAGAGCATTTGGGCGTGTCAGTTAATGCGACCCTGGAATTCTGGCCAAAGATTTCTCCAGTGTGTGCCCTGGTTGCCCGGACTCCTGAACAAGGGGTGGTACCACCAGGCAGTCTCTAAATGGTTGTTCAATTTTCTTTTTTTTCCAATGGCCCCTGGATGCTTGTGGTTGAGTCCTTCTTTTTTTGAATTGGAGTCTCACTCTGTCGCCCAGGCTGGAGTGCTGAGCTCAGGTGATCCTTCCGCCTCAGCCTTCCAAGTAGCTGGAACTACAGGTGCGCGCTACCACGCCTGGCTTTTTTTTTTATTGTAGAGATGAGGTCTCGCCAAGTTGCCCAGGCTGTTCATGAACCTGTGGACTCAGGCAGTCCTCTCACCTCGGCATCCCAAAGTGCTGGGATTACAAGCTAGAGCTACTATGCTCAGCCAGCTGTTCGATTTTCAAAAGAAAAGCAAAGGGTATCCTTAATCTGTTACCATTCTTATTTGTGTGTGTGTGTGTGTGTGTGTGTGTGTGTGTGTGCATGATGACATCCAAAATATACACTAGACAATACAGGCCAGGCACGGTGGCTCACACCTGTCATCCCAGCACTTTGGGAGGCCACAGAGGGAGGACTGCTTGAGCCCAGGAGTTCAAAACCCAGCCTGGGCAACATAGTGAGACCTCTACAAAAAATAAAAAAATTAACCAGGCATGATGGTGCACACCTGTAGTCCCAGCTATTCGGGAGGCTGAGGCGGAAGGATCTCCTGAGCTCAGAAGGTTGAGGCTGTGGTGAGCCGTGATGGTGCCACTGCACTTCCAGCCTGGGTGACAGAGTAGACCCTGACTCAAAATATATATATAATGACTTTAGGATTTCAATATTTCTATTAAGCTTTGAGATCGCAGAAATAGCCTCAAGGAAAAAAACCCACCAAACTAGGAGCTGAGAGTCCTTCTAAACCCCAGTCCTGACACCATTTTGCTGCCCACAGATGGCAGTGGCATCTGTCCGTAGCCCAACCTCTCTCTCCTTTGACCCGTATTCTCACATTTGTGCCTTGTCTTTTCCCACCTTCTGTTTCACAGACTGGAGTACAAGTACTCGAAGCTGGTGATGAATGCCACCCTCAAGGACTGTGACCTGCCGGCCGCCGACAGCTGTGCCATCATGGAAGGCGAGGATGTGGAAGATGACCTCATCTTTACCAGCAAGAAGTCACTCTTTGGGAAGATCAAATCCCTTACCTCCAAGGTAGGGGCCCAGCCAGGGCCCTTAGGTCAACTTGCAGGGCTGGGGAAGGGGCCCCTCCTGGACACTGGATGGTCTCGCACTGCTCAGGGACTGTGGCCCTGCTCCCTGCCACGCCATATGACTCTGTTTCCCCACCCCGAAAAGCCTGTCTGCTGCCTTTTTCATTTCCACACCAACACTCTTCCCCCTGGCTCCCAAGGTGGCCTTTGCCCAGGCTCCTCCTCTTCTGACACGCACTCCTGTTGGTGAACTCTTGGGACCCTAACTTCCCGAAGGAGCGTTGAACCATCCATGTTGTGGAACCATCCCTCTCCCCAGGCCTCCCACAGCCTTTTTTTCTTTTGGAAGAGGGAAGAAGGGCCAGCTTTGAGCAGTGGAGGGCGCTCTCTGGGAGGTGTCTGAGCCCGGGCCTTCGGAGGCTGAATCACGGGTCTAAGCTGTCACTCAGCAGTTCTGAGCTGGGATGGCTGGCTCCGTGTGGGGGGTGGGTGAATGAGTGTCAAGCTCATAAATGCCACGCAGACAACACAGGCACTGGGTGTGGGGCCTGCAGAAAGCATCCAGGCAACTCCTCCTGGGCTACAGCCCTCTGCACCCCACTCTGCAGGCACCCACATCTAACTACTGTCCTGAACCAGCTCATCCCCGCAGGGGTGGGTGGGAGGGCAGTAAGAGGGAGGAGAGTTGGGCGGGGGCAGGGGGTGAAGAAAGAGGGGTGCTTGCATTGCTGAATCTCGTTCCCTTTGTGCTGGGCGACTCCCTTGACCTGCTTAGACCGTGGTTGGTTTTTGTTGTTGTTTTTTTAACCAGTGCAAGAACAGTTCACCCTGGGACTGCTAGAATTCAGCCAAGATGCAAAGTAGGGCATTTTAAAGATTTTTCTTACTCTCTGGCTGTGCAAGAAGAATAAAGGGCATGTCATTTCTGTGTTGCCACAGAGCCACCGGGAACAGGAATTCCAGAAGGTTCCTTCCATCACCTCTTTCCATTTCTCTCCTCTGTCCCCCAAACTTGTCCCCATGCAGCAGCCAGCGCCTGTCACCATTTCTCTTTCAGAGGACTCCTGACGGATTTGACTCGGTGCCGCTGAAGACATCCTCGGGAGGCCCAGACGTGGACCTGTGAGGGGCACTGGCCTGCCCGCCTGCCTCCCTGGCCTGGCACCTCACCTGGCAGGCCTGTGGCATTTCAGGCAACACGTGCTGCTGGAAACCTCTTCATTGTGGCCTTATCAAAAGAAGTTTGGATTTCAGAGTTTTGTGTTTTTTTTTTTTATGGACTCCCCAAACCCTCCCATCTGCTTGCCTCAAACCCGCTAAATATACCCAAAGTTTGTTTATACGTTATCCCCTCTCTTGTATCTTGTTTCCCAAAATGACCCACCTGCCAGAGCCATGGCTCCATCTGCCTAGAATCCTGATAGCTCTGGAAATGACAAGACATCTGTCTTCTTAAGGATAGAAATTACTTCCTCTGCCCTCCTGCTGAAGAGAGAAGCACTGGGAGCTCTCCTGACTGGATGCTCTCAGCGCCTGACCTCTTTGGAGAGAGGCTGAGTGAGGAGGGCACCCAGAGCCCTGAAGGACAAGCTTCAGAGTAGCCCGGATTCATTTCTCCTGGATGAGCAGCTCTTGCAGAGTGGAACGGGGGGTCTGAGGGCAAATGAGTCGGCCTGGGCCAAAAAAGCCTGGATAAGCACAAGGACAGGCAATAAGGAAAAGTGTTTGTTTTGTTTTTAGGTTTTGGGGGGTTTTTTTGAGTTGGAGTCTCACTCTGTCACCCAGACTGGAGTGCAGTGGCCACTCCTAGCCACCGCAGCCTCGACCTGCTGGGCTCCGGCGATCCTTCCGCCTCAGCCTTCCAAGTAGCTGGAACGACATGCACGCGCTACCATGCCCGGCTCATTTTTTGATTTAGTGTAGAGATGAGGTCTCGCCAAGTTGCCCAGGTGGGTCTCGAACCCGCAGGCTCAGGCAATCCACTCACCTCAGCCTCCCAAAGGCGTGAGATTACAGGCTGAGCCACCAAGCCTGGCTAGGTTTTTTTGTTTGTTTGTTTCACTCTGTTGCCCAGGCTGGAGTGCAGCGGTCCCATCAAGGCTCACCACAGCCTTGACCTCCTGGGCTCCACCATCACCCCCAGCTAATTTTTTTTTTTTTTTGTAGAGATGAGGTGTATGTTACTTAGGCTGGTCTTGAACTCCTGGGCTCAAGCAATCCTCCCGTCTCAGCCTCCCAAATTGATGGGATTCCAGACTTGAGCCAATGCGCTGGGTTTTTTTTTTTTTTAAACAGGTACCTCATTCCTCCCTTCTCTTAAATAAATTTTCTCACTGAAGCCAGAGGAAAAAGTTCATTAAGAAAATGCCCAGATCAGCTGAGCTCAGTGGCTCAGTCTGTAATCCCAGCACTTCAGGAGGCCAAGGCGAGTGGATTGCCTGAGCCCGCGGTTTCAAGACCCACCCGGGCAACTTGGCAAGACCTCGTCTCTACAATAAATAAAAAATTAGCCGGGCGTGGTAGTGTGCGCCTGTAGTTTTGGCTACTTGGAAGACTGAGGCAGAAGGATCGCCGGAGCCCAGCAAGTCGAGGCTGCGGTGGCCGGGGGTGTACCACTACACTCCAGTCTGGGCGACAGAAAGACTCCAACTCAAAAAAAAAAAGAAAGAAAAGAAAATGCCCAGATCCAGGGTAGGTCTGTTCTGTTTATTTATTTTACCCTCTTGCCCTATGACACTAAAGAGAACCAAGTAAGCAAACACTAAACCCTGATGTTCTAGCCTTATCATCTGTTGACTTTTACCTACAGAGATGGTCAACCCCTGATACTGAGGAAAAGTCCCCACCCTTGAGTGACCCAGTCTTGGAGGCGTGGGCCATGTCAGAGAGCAGTGACATCTTCTTTCTTTCTTTCTTTCTTTTTTTTTTGAGTTGGAGTCTCACTCTGTCACTCAGACCGGAGTGCAATGGCATGCTGACAACCATCACAGCATGGACCTGCTGGGCTCAGGCAATCCTACCTCAGTCTTTCAAGTAACTGGAACTACAGGCACGCGCCACCATGCCCAGCTAATTGATTTATTGTAGAGGTGAGGTTTCAAGTTGTCCAGGCTGGTCTCAAACCCCTGGGCTCTAGCCGCTGCCTCCCAAAGTGCTGGAATTACAGGTGCGAGCCACCACGTCCATCTGATCTTATTTCAAAAGCACAGGGAGACAGGATTTGAAGGAGGTACACAGGGGAAGAGGCCCTCAGTGGTGTGGGCCTGAGGAGGCTGTGGCATCTGCTTCTAAGCTTGACCCACCTGCTCAGCCACAGAATAAATAACATCTATCTAGGCTGGCCGTGAAAGGACTTGGCTCTTACCCCATAGCAGGAGACTCAGATAGTCTTTACAAGGGGAAGGCCAGGGGAGTTTAACAAGGTATTCATCACACTGGGTTACTTCTCACTTTCAAGCCCCGTCCTTCAATTTTCTTTTTCTTATTTTCTTTTTTGAGTCAGAGTCTCACTCTGTCACCCAGGCTGGAGTGCAGTGGCATGCTCACAGCCACTGTAGCCTTGACCTGCTGGGCTTAGGCCATCCTTCCGTCTCAGCCTTCCAAGTAGCTGGAACCACTGGCGTGCGCCACCACACCCAGCTCATTTTTTCATTTACTGTAGAGACGAGGTCTCGCCAAGTGGCCCAGGCATGTCTCAAACCCCCTGGGCTCAGACAGTCCTCTTGCCTCCACCTCCCACAGTGCTGGGATTACAGGTGTGAGCCACCGTGCCCCCCCCTTTTTAAAGTCAGGGTCTTGCTCTATTGCCCAGACGAGTACAGTAGTATAATCATGGCTCACCACAGCCTCAACTCCTGAGCTCAAGCGATCCTCCTGCCTCAGCCTCTCAAGTAGCTGGCACTACAGGTGTGTGCCACCACACCCAGCTAATTTTTTATTTTTTTGTAGAGATGAGGTCTCACTATGTTGCCCAGGCTGGTCTCAAACTCCTGGGCTCAAGTGATTCTCCCGCCTCGGCCTCCCAAAGTGCTGGGATGACAGGCATGAGCCACCGCACCCAATCCTTTCCCTTTTTCTCATTTTATGTCCTTTGTGTGCTAAGAAACTAAAGAGACCTCTGGTCCTAACATCTGGTAGCATCCCTTTTGAAAGGTGAGTGGAGTGGGGTCCCCTGTGCCTCATCGCCCCATGCTTATTATGGGGATCATCAGCTATGATTGATGAATTTTAAGCACCTAAATGACCTTCTTTCTCCTACTGGCAAGTCTCCCTCCCTCCCCATCGGGCCAGGATGACCCTCCCTGGGTCAAGCCCCAGTCACCCATGGTTTGTACCTGTGTCCTTTCTCCAGTGACCACTCATTGATCAGATACTAGACACAGAAAGGAGATGGCATTTCTAAGTGGTTCGTCCGCCACAGGATGATCGGTTCATCTGATGAGCCACTGCCATGGCGGCCACGGATTTATTAGTCAGTGAAAACAGGAGCTGGGCCAGGACGTCGGGCCATCGACAGCGCCAGAGATGCAGGGAGTCCCTTTGGTTCACTCAATCCAGAAGCTTTCCTTTAGACATCCACACTCCTTTTCCTTCTGTGGGAGTCGGTTTCTTAGTGCCCTGACTTGGAACTTTCCCCTGGATGCAGCACATAGACCCTGAGCTCCAGCCTCAAGTCTTCTGTCGCCTGAGCGACACCTGGGCATCTGCCTTCTCACTGCATAGATTTCTTTTTTGATAAAGGCCACAGAAGGGGCTTAGACTATTCTGCAAACAGCAGGAAAAATACACACCTTGGCCAGGCATGGTGGCTCACGCCTGTCATCCCAGCACTTGGGGAGGCAGAGGCAAGAGGATTGCCTGAGTCCGGGGGTTTGAGACCAGCCCGGGCAATTTGGTGAGACCTCATCTCTACAATAAATTTTTAAAAATTAGCCAGGCATGGTGGTGGTGCACGCCTGTAGTTCCAGCTACTTGGGAGGATGAGGCAGAAGGATCACCTGAGCCCAGCAAGTTGAGGCTGCAGTTGCCATGAATATGCCACTGTACTCTAGCTTGGGCAACAGAAGGAGACTCTGACTCAAAAAAAAAAAGTACACATCCTTTGACTTTTGTATTTCAGTGATAATACTTCAAGGATCTCTTTTTTACTGCCCTACTGTGGTCATTTCTTTCTTATTTATTTATTTATTTATTTTTTGAGTTGGAGTCTCAATTCTGTCACCCAGGCTGCAGTGCAGTGGCATGCTCACCCCACCACAGCTTCGACCTACTGGGCTCAGGTGATCCTTCCACCTCAGCCTTTCAAGTAGCTGGAACCACAGGCATGTGCCACCACTCCTGGCTAACTTTTTGATTTATTGTAGAGACGAGGTCTCGCCATGTTGCTCAGGCTGGCCTCGAACCCCTGGACTCAGGCAATCCTCTCACCTCCACCTCCCAAAGTGCTGGAGTTAACAGGTTTGAGCCACCATGCCCAGCCTGGTTCACCCATTTAAAACATATAAATCAGGCTGGGCGCAGTGGCTCACACCTATAATCTCAGCACTTTGGGAGGCCAAGGCAAGAGAATTGCCTGAGCTCACAGATTCGAGACCAGCCTGGGCAGCTTGGTGAGACTCTATCTCTACAATAAATCAAGAAATTAGCCAGACATGGTGGTGCATACCTGTAGTTCCAGGTACTTGGAAGGTTGAGGCAGAAGGATCACCTGAGTCCAGCGGGTCGAGGCTATGGTGGCCATGAACGTGCCACTGCACTCCAGTTTGGGTGACAGAGTGAGACTACAACTCAAAAAAAACACAAAAAACAAAAAACAAATCAATGGCTTTCAGTACATTCACAGAGTTGTATATTCATCTTGGAACAGACACATGTTAGATTTTCTGTGAGAGAGGCTTTAGCCCTTGAACCAGGGCTAGTGGTTTGCACAAATTGCTAGAAGAGGGAGTATGGGCTCAGGAGATAAAAATTTTTAAAAATGTTTATAACCTGTTGGCTACCTGGAATCCTAGAACACATAGTAACTTCCATGTGGCTGTCTGCTGCATTTGACTGGGAATACCAATGAAGATGTCAGTGTATTCTAGGGCCAGGGTTTTTTTGTTTTTGTTTTTTATGCCAACAAAACATTTTTTTCTTGTCTGACTGCATTAAAGATAAGACTGACTATATTTATACAACAGAGACTTTGTAACGGATTTTTCAGCTTTGTGAAATCGAATTTTTGTCTCATCAGGACTGGTTGAATTTCCTTTTACTCTGTATTCCAAGCATTTATAGTTTGTTAGGGGATGGGTATGGTATGTCACTTTTTTTGTTTTGTAAAATAAAACCTACCTTTCGAGTTG